TGGCGCTATGTCAAACCATGCCACAGTCGAGTTGCTCCAGTTGTGCCGCTGCTAGGCAACACAAGTCGTCCAAATCAACATTTAAATTAGTGGGTGGAGCGTTTTACAAGTCCTGCTCAGCAACCAGCGCACCTTTCGTCGTAAAGCGCCACACCTCGCTTCCTTGGCAGCCAAGTAACTGCTTCGTGTGGTGCACATGCTTCCCCAATGCGCTCCCTCTTTATCGTAATCGATCCCTCCAAGAGCGAAGCGATGTTTGCATCCTTTTGTGGCTGTTCTCCCCATGTTTAAAAGTCACTCCCTAAAGAACGAAATGTGGGCGGACCTATCTGTTGGACGGCCCATGTGCCTCAAGCGGAGCTTCTCGGTATTGCTTTTTACAGGAATAACTCACGAAAAGAGAAGAAAAAGTGAAGAAAATGGATTCGTGGGGTGAAGTAAATATATGATAAATCTAAAATGTGTGAATGATGAATAATTCATGGCAAACCAACCCCATCGGTAGACATTTGCTCCTCTCGTTCTGGATCGAAGAAGTAGTCGCCAATCCCAATGAAGGGATTTGCCGAACTCTGACCAAAGGTGAATCCATAGCCAAACATCCAATAGGCGAGACCTAAAATGACCTTTTACTATCTCTTGCTGTTGCTATATTTACCATGTGAGTCAGCTTTTCAGTGCCTCGTTTTTTGGGAAGAGGTTCAATTGGGGGTTTTGCCTGCAACTGATGAACTGGTTAGAGTATTTCCATGGAGGAAGTGTGCGTCACTCCCAGCAGGTTCAAGTATACCTCACCGATATGGCCCAGTATAGGTCCATGGATGGTAATTCGCCGGCCAAACGTGCCTGATGAATATTTATGAGAATTTCTGTTTAATCTTGCTTCGCACAGCAATCAAGCATGTGGTGACAAACTAGGAGCATCTATACTCCGCTTCCGAGAACCAGAAGCGCGTCGAGTGCAGACCACACACCACAAGTGACGACGGCCTTCACAAAATGTGTTTTCTGCCAATGAAATGATTAGCCTGTTGCAGTTGTATTCTATCAGTTGTCACTAATTACAACTATCATTTACCAACTATCAGCTATCACTATGAATCACTAGTTACCAGATTTACTTGGAGGCCGTCGTCACTTGTGGTGTGTGGTCTGCACTCGACGCCTCTCGAAAGCAAAGGTCTCGAAAGCAGAGGGTAGAGATTCAGGAGTGCCTACTGGCGGATTATGTCGTATTCGCAGAATTATTAGCATGTAGCCTCAGCTGGCTTCAAGAACATCAATAATAAGCAACAAGATGTTGATTTTTTCGAATCTGTCGTCTGTGTATTACTAACCGTAAGTCTACGTCTACGGCAGAACGGTCGTGGAAAGTGGAGTGTAGGTTGATCAAATCACTTCATTGTAATGAGTGAGGATTCCAGTAGCGCTAGGCTTTTCCCCCACTTGACTATAAATCGATTTGCTTCCTTCAGAAATTTTCTGAGAATTTCTACCACATTTGTAATCAGTTTCATACGTTTCTCGTTTTTCCTGGCTCTAACTGCAAGGAAGGAATATGATGTAATCTCGGACTTAAAGGCACGCTCCGGGCAGGGTGAATATCGCTTGAGGATTCCTCAACGGCACGTCGAGGATTCTCTGCCCGATCAGACACGATCTCTCGCGCGGACATTCACACTCGCCATGCGCGTGCCGTCTGTGCTCTCCGCGCGGATGTTCACTCTCGGCACTACTCTCGCATGGTAGAGAGCTATGGTCGAGGAAATCCTCGACCGTTATTCACCCTGGCTCCGGGTCTAGGCACGCTTATCTGTTTCACCCCAGGGCATAGTAGAGGGGCGGAAAGTGTTGATGTCATGCCCTTTTGCGGCTTAAGAGTGCGCGACAACAGTGTTAGAAGCTCGCACGACCGCAATCCTCACCTTTCAGCCTTTGCATTGCGGTTCAATGTCATTGGCACTGAAGCAGCTGGAGCTAGGTTCGTGAAACTCGTCCAACAATCCCTTCCCTATCCCAGGTGAATGCGGCTGAAATAGGGAGGTCCTAATTCGAGGCGTTTCGGGGCTTTCTCATGCTCTCTTTTTCTTTTGCAGACCACACCCCTCCTTCAGTTTCATTACAGAATGCTGTTCCACACATATTCCAGGGATAGCCCTTAATAGCAGTCTTCAGTCCACCTGCAAGCCTGATACAAAAAGGCCTGTGCCTTCGATCTCACTGTCCGAAACTTGGAGCTGCAGCAGCCCTTTCCGCTGTAGTAAAATCGTGTGCCTCGAGAACTCTATTGCCAGCTTAATAGAGTAATGTTCTTGGAATCGACCGGAAACAGCCATGGACAGCCGACGAACTCTTTTCTTTCTCATGTGCACTAACATGTTCCACTTGGCAGTGACAAGCCGAAGATTTGGCGGACAGATGACGGAAAATCACCCACCTCCAAAAATCACATCCACCACATTTTTCACCATTACGTTCACCTCGTCCTTCGGTGATACTCGTCCCGATTCTAGCAGCCCAAACCCTGAAAAACGTCAGCGTCTGAAGAAGCGGACTAGAGCAGATCTCTCTTTGACCTACCAGCAGTCATTGTGAAAATGGTAAAACTGGATGTCATCATCCAGACCCCGTCGTCCTGGCTATCTCCGGCACCCATGGACATGATGAGAAGGAAGAACCCGTGCCAATCTGAAAATATATCTCATTTCAGGCCTTGACAATCTCAACTCGAATCGGAATTCCGCACCAAATACAGAGTTTTTCACGAGAAATAGGTTATGTCAAAGGGGAAGGATGGGGCCATGAAAATGAAGGAGGCCACGAATGAGATAAGAAAAAAGAGGTGGAGCAATCAACATGAGCTCAAAAGGAGCAGAAATGCAAGCAGGCATGATTTATTTATGAAGGCAGAGGTAGTTCTTCAGCAAAAAATGCCGCAATTGAATAAGTGGACCATAATGATCCATAATAGAGACCTCAATTAC